CGATCCCTGGCCTGCAAGGATCCCACATGCCCCAGAGCAGCTGAGCCCACGCACCACAACTGCTGAGCCCGTGCTCTAGCGCCCTGGAGCCGCAACTCCTGAGGCGCGAGTCCAAGAGCCCGCGGCCCACAAGAGACGCCACCGCAGAGAAGCCTGTGCGTCGCAACTAGAGGTCAGCCCCCGCTCTCCACAGCTAGAGACAGCCGGAGCAGCAGTGAAGGCCAGCACAGCCAAAAATAAATAAAATCTTATTGAAAAAAAATCCCGCAGGAGCCACAGTCATCACCCTCTCCTACAGATGGGAACCTGGTGGGGGTGGGCAGGATGCTGACCCAGCTGCAGGCCGCCCACCCCAAGGCATCACCCACACCGGGCCTCCAGGCCATGGGTGTGGCGGGGCAGCTCTGCCCACAAGAAGGGCTGACACAGGCTCCGCCCGCAGGACCTCAGTATCCCCAGGAGCCAGGCCAGAAAGCTCAAGGCATATTTGGCCAAGTGCTGGCCAGATGACTCGATTACAGGGGAGAAATGAACAGAGGGAAACGCAGAAGCTATAATCTAACATCGCCCTCCTGTGAGCAAAAAAAAAAGACTCCTCAGATTATCAGACCCAGCTGGACTGGCTTGTCCTGGGCCGGACCCACAGCCTCGTGGCTGCCCGGTCGCCTCCCGTCTCCCCGGCAGGGACGGGGCGTGGGGAGGAGAGACGTGGCCTGGCCGAGGGTGCCTCAGACACACCAGGCCCGCCTGGGCAGACCGTGAAAACACAGGGGCCTGTGCGTGGATGCGGGCACGCACACCTGTGTACATGTACACACCCACCAACACTCGTCTCACACACGCAGACACACGCATCCAAACACACCACATGCATACACATGCATGCACAAACACACACACGTGTGCACCCCTCTTCTGCTGGGCTTGTAGAGCCCTTCCACGTACGTGGCCTAGGGTGACTTTACTGCCATCCCAGGAGGTGACAGATGTGGGAGATGGACCCCGGGGCACATGGGAGGCTGAAGAGGGTGCGGGAGAGGCCAGGTCCAGCCATTTGCGGACGGCAGAGCCCCCCGGGGTCTCAGTGGGCCCAGAGCCTCCCGCTGGATACTTAAAGCTAGAGAGGCCTGTGGCAACACTGTGCATCTTCCTTCCACAAAATCACCACCCCAAATAGCAGCCGCGTAAGACCCTCCACTCATTACCAAAGGCGCCCCCACACTCCACTCACTGTCTCCAGGGATCACCCCGATCCGTCTACACAACTACTCTCAGAGCAAGGAAGCCGTGTCCCGCCGTTTCCCAGAGGAGAAAGCTGAGGCACGGGGACTGTCCCCGGCTCTGCTAGAGGCAGAGGAGCCCTCCCCGCAGCCCTGGGTTCAGTGACCTGACCGCCAAGCACTGTCCCCCCACCAGGGCCCAACACAGCAGGACCCCCGGGCCAGGGCAGGCGGCATCCCTCAGGTGGTCTCGGCGTGGGGCCCAGAGAGCATTAAGGACGGCCCAGCTGCCCTCCTGTGCCTCCCGAGACCTCCCTCTTCTCACAGCAGCCGCTCCTGCTGGCACAGCACCCTGGGGCAGGCAGCCCTGGGGGCGCCCCGCCCACCGACTTAATGAGGGGCTCTCCAGCCAAGGGGAGCAGCCCCGGGAGAAGAGCGAAGCGCGGGGCTGGGAAGGTCCTGCCAGCAAGGATGGATGAGACAGCCGCCAGAGGGGAAGGTGGGCGCCTGCTGGGGAGGCCCTCGGCGACAAAAGGGAGGGGAAGAAGAAAGGAACGGCGAGTTAGCATCACCTCCTCCAGGAAGCCGCCCCGGAGCTCCCCAAGGGGCCAACCCTCCGCCCTGTTTTCAAAAATGCTCGGCCAAGAGAACAAACAGTGCAATGACCAGTGTCCACAGGTGGGCCTCCCCCCGGCCTGTGTGCTCTCCATCACTTCTGCCTTCCCCACAGCAAGGCCCAGCCGAGGCAAGGGCTCCCGGAGTCAGTAGCTCACCCGGGTGAGTGATGGGCCTGGTGAAAGGGGAGTGGAGGCTTTGGTGCCCTTTGATGGCCTTGGGGTAAAAAGCGGGGAGGGGGCAGGAAGAGACAGAAGAGGGAGGAGGGAGAGAGAGGAGGGAGAGAGCGAAACACTTGGCTGGCCAAATGGGACCCCTCCCTCAGCCCCAGTGAGCCCCAGGCCTCCCCAGGGAGAGGCCCACTCAGCTCCCAGCACAGACAGCAGACAGACCCAGAGTCTGCAGTCTCAGCCCCCCGCGCCGGGCCTCTCAGAACACAGCCCCACCACCCCCAGAGGCCAGGGGGAGAGTCCAAGACGATGATGTGGGCAGACCTAGGAGTTCACCAGGCAAGGCCAGGGACTTCATCCCAAACACCACCACGCGTGGGGCCTCCCCGTGGCCGGGGACCCCACCCTGCTCCTCGTGGCAAGCCCGGGGCTCCAGTGAGGGTGCAGCAGCGGGGCCTTGGGTGCCTGACTCATCCTCGACCCTCGGGGGCGCACTGTTGCTAAGTGAGGGGCGGGAGGCCGTGGGGGCGCTCTGTTCCCCACACCCCTTTGCACCACCCGACCCCATCTGTGACCCAGGGTGGAGGCAGGGATGGGAGACAGGGCCAGACAGCCAGAAGGCAGGGCGGGCAGGCGGGCAGTGCTCAACGAAGGGCGTGGCCGTGGTGAGAGTCCAGAAATATCTGAAGGGTGGGGTCGTGGGGCAGGCTCTGGCCGGCACCCCAGGAACAGCCCCGGAGCAGCACTGGGGAGAAGAGCCTTTGTGCTTCCAGCCCAGGGAGGGGACTGCTGCCCGCGGCCAGTGCGGGAGGTGGTGACCCCAGCTCCAAGCCCTCTGGCCACAGAAAGCTGGACCAGAGGGGAGAGAGGCTTGGGGAACCAGCTTGGCTTCTGAACACCTCCCACTGACTGTTCTTTTATGGGGAGGAGGGGGGAGGGGAGGAGAAGATGGAAAAGGCTGTCTTTCCAGCCAACTGGATTGAGTCAGAGGAAATTTAACCATTTGGTGACTGTCAAGTCCCACAAAACTTGGACAACTCTTCCGACCAAATTATTGCCAAAAGCGACCACGTGACCAGCGTCAACCAATGGTGTGTGGAGGAGATGACCTCAATTTCCAAATATTGGGGTCATGTTTCATTTCACTTACTCTCCTTTGCCCGTTACAATGTTAAACGGCCCCAAACGCAATCTGACTTTTCATGCCTTCACACACTTGGCCAAGAAGAAGGTCGGAAAAAGAGCCATGTTCAGAGAGAACTCAGAAAACATCTGGTGAATCTCAGAATGGAGAGGAGCCGCGCTGCCCCCAGCCCCGCCCTGGACCTCGGTGGACAGCCGCCCCCGCGGACTGAGGATGCCTTCTGAAAGGGTCCCACCCTGGGAGGGGAGGTCTGTGAAACCCACCCAGAGAGGTGGCTTCTTCGCAGGCTCTCAACGTCTCTTCGGCAGGAGCCAAACATCCAAGTCCACAGCCATGGCCCAGGCGCTGACCCCGTGCCCGCCTCAGGCAGGACGGGAAAGCGGAGGCGGGGGGCAGAGACGGCTAACAGCCCACTCTAAGCCCAGACGGACGCTCGCTCTGCCTGCTCCCCAGCCCCGGCGTGTGGGGGTGTGGGCTCCTCTGAAAGGCTCCCACCTGACCTCCGGGGGGGCCCGGCAGAGGAGCCAGGGCAGGGTTATGTGGTTTTGTCCCTGTCGGATGCCCAACACAGGTGCCCTGGCCACATCCCCCGGCCTGCTCCACACCACCTCCCTGGAGGCCGCTGCTGTCCCCCACCCCCAGTGACCCTGGGAGAAACCCAAAGCCTCTGAGCTGAGCCCAGGATCCAGGGAACGCGGGCGGCAGTCCAGGGCTGAGACCCCAGGCCCCCAGAGCCAGGCCAGGTTCCCATGCCTTCCCCAGCCCCTGACCAGCTGGACACCCTGACTCCTGCTCGCCCTGTCTGGCCCACCAAGCACTCACGTGCCAGCAAAAAGGGACAGACTATCTTGATTGGTAAGTGGAAGGTGGAAGTGATTCTTCCTGTATGTCTTCAAATTACAAAGCAGAGCAGAGTGAGGGAACTAAAGTGGTGTTTTCTTGGGGTGGGGGGACCCCTGGCTGGTCCAGCTGTCTCCTGGGCCACTGTCCCCTCCCTCTGCCTGCACTCTCGCTGAGCCTGTTCTGAGTCCATCTCCCATCAGCTACTGGGAGACTTTGAGGGCCACGAGCTCTGAGAACTAAGATGTTGAAAGACCTACTCTACGGGATAGGCAACCGCAGAAGTGATGCTTGGAACACCACCGACATCAGGAAAGTGTGGGGGCGGCAGGCATCTAAGCAGGCGCCCTGTGGGTGCTGGCTGGCTGGATGCATCGGGCAGGAGACGGCTCCTTCTAAGGGCAGACCTCTGGCAGAAGTCCCGTCTGTGCATCATGTAAACCCCAGGCAGCCCAGACCCGGCAACATCTCCCCACCTTGAGCCTAGAATCCGTCTCTGGGCGGTAAACCCTAAAAAACTGCTTCCCAGGAGAAGTCGGGGGCGGGGGGCTCCGCTTCTGCGATTCCCGTCCCCTCCCTGCCCTCCCCTCTCGCGGCCCCCCATCCCAGGAGGCCCGGCCAGAACTGACCCGCTGTAACTCTAGGGGGCGACCCTTCCCGGGTTTCAGGAAAGGAAGTTGTGCTGCGCGCCTGGGACAGGGAAGGTAAAGTTTCAGGACAAAAGTCTGCCAGCCTGGTGGACAGCCCCTCTGGCGCATCCTACACGGAGCCCCATCCTCGGGTCCCCCGACGGCCCCGGCGGTCGGCCCATTTGGCGCGGGGGAGGACTGTGCCGGCGCGTCTCCCTCTCCCGGGCCCCCAACTAATGGCATTCGTAGTCTCGGGCCGCGCATTCCACAGCCAAGCCGGGAAAGTCTTGCAGGCGCAGAAGAGGCCGGGCGCCCGGGGATGACAGCCGTGCCGGCGCCGGCAGCCCCCGGCCCCCAGAGCCCCGGCGCCCCGCGCCCTTACCTGCGCGGCTCGGAGGCGGCGCCCACAGCAGCAGCAGCAGCAGCAGCAGCAGCAGCGGCGGCGGCGGGGACAGCAGCGGGGCGCCCGGGCGGAGCGGGCTGCGCGCTTTCCAGCGGGTGTGGACGTCCATGCCGGAGGGGCGCGAGGTGCGGGGCGCGGGGCGGACGCGCGGGGACGCACGGGGCGCGGGGCACGGCCCGGGCAGCGGACTCAGCGGGGCCGGCACGACCTTAGGGAGTCATGGGAGCAGCCGCCGGCCCGTTCTCTTTGTGGCCGTGGCCCCTCGGGAGGGTCGGCTGGCGCGCTCGCCCACGGCCGGGAGGGCTTGACCTCCGTCCGCGGGGCACCGGGACCCCGCTCGGCTCGCTGGCCCCGGCCTCCTCGCCCCCTCCGGTTCCTTCTGGCCTCCTCCTCGTCGCCACCGCCCCGCGACTCGCTCCCCTGGGCGCTGCGCTCGAGTGAGGTCCGGCGCCGGCCGCGGGGACTCAGGAGGAGTGCGACCTCGCCTCGGGCGCCGAGCACTTTTCCCCCTTCCCCTCCCGCCCTCGCTCCTGGAAGGCACCCGCGGAGGCCGGGGCTCCCCGGCGCCTGCAGCAAATCAGAGCGGCCGCTGGGCTCGACCGGGCCGGCCCCCGCTTCCCACTGGGCGCCGCGGGCGGGGAGGAGGGGCCAGCGGGAGATTGGCGGCGAGGAAGAGGCTGGCTCGGGGCGGGCGGGGACCCGAGCGGGCACGGCGCCCCGGCTCTGCCGGAGTGCGCGCGCGGACGGAGCCACCGGGACAGAATCTGAACGCCCACTTTTCCCGCCCCAGGTGCCCACACCTGGCCGAGCCCCAGAACCAGTGTGGAGGCGCCCCGAGTTCGAGCATTTGGAGTTAAAAAAAAGTTGCAGCTCACCCCGCCTAACTTTTTCACGTACTTGGAGTTGAGAGCTCCTCTTCTGGGTGGAGACTGGACTTCCAATCCAGCCAGATCGGGGCGCCCAAGACTGTAGCAGGCGCGTCCACCCCAACCCACGACCTGCTCTCCACCTTCCCGCACGGCAGATTGGGCATCCGTGCCCACGCTGAGGTCTGGACTCCCGAGAGGTCCTCGGGAGGAGCTTGGAGGTCACACATCTGGCATATTAATCAGGCGGAGTTCGCCAGCACCCCTCCCGCCCTGCCCCTCCTGCATGGAGACCCCTCTGCCGCAAAAAGGGAAGCCAAGGAGACGTGTCTGGGAGGTGACAGCCGCAGAGGATGAGGGCTGGGGACCCGGCTGCCCCGGACCACGTCGGGCACTGCCTCTCTTCTCCACTGCTTTAAGCCTCCTAGAGGTCTCCCTGGAGCCTCCAGGCTGGGTGGTGGGCAGCAGCCCCTTCCACTTGGTTCCCCCAGCCCAGAACTATGCACCCAGCTCCCCCTCAAAAGCCTGCTGAAGCCTCCCTAAACCCCTTCGTAGAAGAGCAACTGTGCTGGTCTTTAAAGGGAAGGTGAGTGGGGGGCTTTTCAGAACCCAAGCCATCCCCTCTGTTTTGAACAGACAGTTCAGCCAGTGACACTGAAGCAGTGCTGGGACCCCTGTGCCCCGGCCTCCAGACTGAATGTGAAACTCCCCCAAACACCCTTCAGTTCCGCCGTTCTGTAAGCAGGGGGGAGGGGAGGAGGGGAGAGTTGGGTTTGCTGCCTCTCGAGCCGGGTGGTAGGTCCCTGGGGCTAGCCCGGTGGCCCACGTCTGCCCAGGTAAAGGATGAAGCCCACAGTGTGAAGCCAAGTGGTCTCTCTGGTGTGGATAGTTGTTTCTTGCTGTTTTACAACCTGTGTAAATCACATCTGAGATCTGGGTGGGTGTGCGTTCTGTGCACAGGTGTGTGGGTCTGCAATTTGTGTGCCGGTCAGCTGGAGCTGGTCCTTGGTGAACCTTCCTGAAAGAAATTCCACTGGACACTCCCTGAGCCCCCAGCCCCACCTGGCCCCTGGAATGCCCCCCCACACTGCTAGGGGAAGGCCAGCTTCTCCTGAAGACTTGGTGCTACCGTAGGCCAGTGGTCTGGCTCCAGAAGACAGTGCTGACTCAGGGCTCCCCAGCGACGCAGAGAGCTCCTCCATGAGTCGCGGGTGCCTCTGTGCTGCTTGCCAGCCCTCCCGACACCTGGAACTCAGGATGGGCATCTGGCCCCTAAAGAGCTGATAGTCAAAGGACACTGTGTCCCCCAGAGAGCTGACCGCACAGTAATGAGAAAGCTTGGGACAACGGTGGGCTCACCAGTGCCCGGACTTGGGTGGGGAGGTAGTTTCTAGCCCACTCAGAAACTCAGAGAACAACCCCTAAACTGAACACCCCGCCCTGCCCGCACACCCTGTCCCACCCCCTGTGGGAGGGTGACCGTGACGTCTGGCCACAACTGGGAACCCAGCGGGGACAGCAGGAGCACCAGCCAGACCTGTGTGTTGGCCACGTCAAAGCCACTCTTGTGCCGGGTCTCACACAGCAGTAAAGAACAGTCAGTTCGCCCCCTGCAGATAAGGAAGGTGAGGATCAGAGAGGCTGAGGGACTTTTAGCCAAAGTACCAGCCCATCCATCCGTGGCCAAGCCCAAATTTGAACCCAGATTTGCCTTCGGGCAGGAAAAAATGAGAATCACCTTGCCCAGATCCTTGCAACAATGCATCATGGTTGACCCCAGCAGTATCCCGCGACCCTCCCACAACTGATTAAAACGAAGAGTCCTTTGGAAACTGTTTATTCCCTCTGGGCTCCAGGACGCCTGTAGTGACTGAGACACTCGTCCCCAGCCCTGCCTCTCCCCCGTCGCCTCCCCTGGGCCTGAAACGCCACACAGGGGCTCCAACTCCGGCAGCACAGGCAGCGCCTGCTCACCTGGGAGCCTCCCTCCTCTCCTGTGATCGCCTCCAGGGTCCCACTCGGCCCCTCCCTGTGAGCTGGCCTCCACTGCCGGCGCTCCACCGTGGCCCGGCCTCGCCGGCATCCAGGGTCTGGGCGCCCCTGGCCACCCTGGCCTTGTGTCTCCCGGGGTGCCGGGCAGAGCGCAGGCGTGCTGCAGCTCTGCACCTGGGACCCGCCGCCCACCCTTCCCCTCTGCTGCAAGGGCTCCCCCTCCCCGACTCTTTAAGCGATGCATCACGGCCTCATGTCCACGGCAGGCCCTAGGCACGGCGGGCTTGCGGGCTCTCCCGTTCCCCTGCCACCCGACGGGGCCACCCAGCCTCCCGGGGTCCTCATGGGGCTGGGAAAGCCCGCCCTTCCTGGGGAAGCCCCCCAGGACAAGCGGCTACCTTCTCCTCCTCCTCTCCCAGGCTGGAGCTCATGGCCCCTTGGAGGAGGCGGACGAACAGGTGGTCAGCTTGCCTCCCAGGGCTTCACTGCCCAGCAGGCCCAGGAGGGGCCCGGGGAGCTCCCGCTCTGCAGGCTGAGGGGCTGGCGCTGCCCCTGCATTCACCCACAGCCGTGGGGCGGCCCCGGGGCTCCCTCCAGCTGCCCAGAGAGGCTGCTGCAGACCTGCCTCCGGCACCTGTGGCCCCAGCTGCGTCCTGCAGTTGGTGCCCAGGACCAGGCCAGCCCCGGAGTCCCGGGCTCAGCTGCGGCCCAGCCCCGGGCCTCGGGCGGTGAGTGCTGACCTCCGGCCCTCAGCGCTCCTCCCTGGGAAGCGGGGGCGAGGACGCCGGCCCCCGGGGAGCCCCGTGGATCAGAAGCCGGGCCAGGAAGCCCTGAGGAGCCCTGCTGGGTCCTTGGGGGGCTCCGGGGCCCCCTTCCACCCTCCCTGCCCTCTCCTGCATCCTGCAGCCGGGTGGTCTCCCTCCGACCCCTCTGAGCCATCTGCTGGACCCTTCAGGGCCTCACCCCGTTCACCGCACCACCTGCCCAGTCGAGTAAAACCCCTCCCATTGGGCCGGGAGGACGTGGAGGCTGGGGGCCCTGAGACCACCCGCTCTAGGGCCGGCAGCTGGGGTGGCACAGCCGGACTGGAGCCCAGAGCTCCCACCTGGGGGGCGTGTGAGCCCGCCCTCTGGGAGGACGGAGGCTGTCCATCCCGCTGGCCCCAGGAGCCCCACCTCTGCCTGCGCTGGGCCCCGGCTGGCCGACCTTCCAGCCCTGGGCCCTGCCCACGGCCCCCTGCAGGCCAGGGGTGCCACCTTGCCCACCCAGGCTGCAGGCTGTCCCTCCAATAACCAGCAAGACTCGGGCGGGGTGGCTCTCACTCCCAGGGCAGCCCTCCACAGTTACCAGGGGAGACACACCACTTCAAGGCCAAGGTTGACGGGTGTCCTTCCCCACCTTCTCTGACCCGGTGGAGGAGATGGAAGGGAACCCAGGCAGGCCAGTGGCCAAGGGCTGCTCCCGGGATGGCAGGCTTCCCAGGGCACGGGTCTGCTTGGGCACCTACAACAAAGTACCCGAGATCGGGCAGCTTGAACCCCAGGAATGTGCTCTCGCCCTGGAGGCTGTGAGTTGTGAGATGTACAAATGTGAGAGTTGGACCACAAAGAAGGCTGAACACTGAAGAACTGATGCTTTTGAAATGTGGTGCTGGAGAAGACTCTTGAGAGTCTCTTGGACTGCAAGGAGATCAAACCAGTCCATCCTAAAGGAGACCAACTCTGAATATTTGTTGGATGGACTGATGCTGAAGCTGAAGCTCCAATACTTTGGCCGCCTGATGCGAAGAGCTGACTCACTGAAGAAAGACCCTGGTGCTGGGAACGATTGAAGGCAGGAGAAGGGGACGACAGAGGATGAGATGGTTGGATGGCATCACTGACTCAATGGACATGAGTTTGAACAAGCTCCAGGAGATAGTGAAGGACAGGGAAGCCCGTAGAACTGAAGTCCATGGGGTCACAAAGATCAGACACTACTTAGCGACTAAACAACAACAACCCCGGAGGCTGGATGTCCAGCTCAGGGTGTGATCAGGGCTGGTTCCCTGGAGGTGGCTCCTGAGCTGGACGACAGCCTTCTTCTCCCCACGTCTGTCCTCCTTGCAGGCCACGTCCTGATCTCTTCCTAGAAGGACAAGTCACATTAGGTGAGTTCACCCGAAAATGAAGGTGACTTTGTCTCTTCTTTAAAGGCCGTTTTACCAAACAGTCACATCCAGAAGTTCTGAGGGTCAAGGTTCAGCGCGTGAACCTGGAGGGGGGTGGCATCAGACACCCAGGACACCTCGGCAATCAAGGTCTGTGGGCCTTTGAGGAAGCCTGGGGTGGGGGCTGTCTGTTCTCCAGAACAGTAGGGGCATTCTGAGGTCAGTGGGGTGGGGGGGCGAGGGGTGGGCAGGACCCTGTCCAGCGGCAGGAACCTGAGTGGCGACTTGCCGTGCCTGCTGCTCCAACCAGCTGACAGACAGCCTCGCTCCTTCTGCACGTGGAGCTGAGCCCCTTGGCTGTGATGGTGTCCACACCGGGCCAGGGAGCGGGGGGCGGACAGGAGCTAAGGGGACAACTGGACAACCGCAGCGACCTAAGATGCAGCTGCCCCCACCCCGCAGAGGCTCCCTCCAGTCTCCTCTCCCCCAACTCCTTCCCATCTCCTCTGCCCCGCACCCCCCCACTGCCACTCATACACCTCACTCTTCCCGAGGAGAAGCCCAGGGTGCAGGGAGGTGCCCCGAGGTCCCTGTGACAAGGGTGGGCGCGCTGGGTGCAGCCAGCACCGTGGGGAGAGCCGGGCCTGCAAACATGCTTCTGTCCACATCACCCCCCAGGGGACCTGGCCCCAGCATCCCGGGCCAATCCAGGCCCCAGCCTGTGCTCCACAGGGTTTTCTGGGTGAGCCCGAGTGGGTAGGGAAAGAGGCAGACAGGAAACCAGGAGCCAGGGCTCCCGTCTTGGTGGTCACCCTGCTCTCCAGGGCTGCAGGATCCTCCTAGAATCCCACAGGCTTTCTCCACTGGTTTCCCCGTGAAGCCCCCTGCTCTATGCCAGAACTTCCACACCTCTGAGAAGTGAAGGCCTCTCCCACCAGCCAGCTCCGAATCCAGCAGCGGGAAGGGGCTGTTCCCTCCCAGAGCGCCCAACCACGACTCACAGTCCTGCACCCACAGACCAGCCAGGACTCAGCCGCTGGCGTGGTTCAGACGCAGCACTCCAGTCTGCCCGAAGCTGGAGCTCTTTGTGGCTACAGAGTGTCGACCCAGGGCCAGGAAGCAGGGTTCTCGATGGTCAGGGAGCTGCCCCCCATCGAGGGCGGGGACAGGGACCGGCAGCCTGATGCCAGGAGTGCTGGCAGCAGACGCACCCTGGACCGGCTGGCACGGGCTGGGTGTGTCAGGCCTGGCAGCCCCTAGTTGCGTGGCCCGCCCCTGCTTCACGCAGCATGGCTGTTTCCATGTTGTGCCCACTGTGTTCCTATCCAGGGCCAAGTGAACTTGACGAAATAATGGGATTTCAGGCAAAACAGCCCGTGACAGACAACCTGGGCTTTGGACACTGAGGGCGAGCTTGCATTTATTCAGACAATGGGATGTGGGTCCACCCCTCTCGGCCTCAGACTGGGTGGACAGGTTACCCTCCTGGAGATGTTTTACAGGCAGAGGTTGAGTTCGCAGCCCACAAGAATGTCAGTTGGAAAAATCGCTGTTGACTTGTAAAGAGCTCCCTGTGTAAATGAGGCCAGGGCACCATTCCTCAGGCGCAAAGGGCATCTGCCCGGGGTGGCGTCTGCTGAACCTGGGATCTCATACTTCTGTCCCCGCCGGCCCAAATGGGACCCCTCCCTGGGAGGTGAGGGCAGAGGTGTCCCTGGAGCCCAGAGCCAAGTGCCCTGGACATGCAGCACTGCCTCGGACCCCAGCGTCCCATCTGGAAAAGGGGTCAGAGAGGCCGCTTCACAGACGGCAGTGTGATTGCCTCTGGGGGTGAGGCAGGGCCTGTTCCGGGCACAGGGCACGTGCCCACCTTCAGGGTCAGAGTCTCAGGGGATAAGGCTCTGGCCTGTGAGCAGAGGTGTGGGGCAGAGGTGACTGGGGGCCAGCATCTGAGGACTCCCACATCCGGGGTGGGGGCTCCCTAAGGAAGTGACGCGGAAGTTCAGACCCCAGGGTCCTGCTCAGGGCCTGGTGCTGCCTCTCCAGGATGCCCTCCCTAGAAGGTCCCGCCAGCGGAGGGAAGGCAGGAGCTCGGGCCCAGAGGAAGCCCGTGGGGCGCACCGCTGGGGCGGGGCTGGGGCAGAGCGTGCAGGGGCTGGGGGCCCGCTGGGAGTCTGGGCTCTCCCAAGGAGAAAGGGCCAGGTAGGGGTTTTAGGAGGAGAAGGCTGCATCAGAGTCTTCTGGAAAGATCCCTGACTGCAGGGTGGAGAACTGCTCAGAGAGGCAAGAACCAAATCAAGCTGGAAGGGGGAGCAAGGTGGGAATGGGGAGGCAGGGGCTGGGACTCACCCAGACTTGCCAGGAGCCCAGGGCCCAGCCAGGAAGCCGATCCACCCATCGTCTGGGTGTGTGCAGGACCGATCACCCCGAAGGGGCCCCCGACACCCCAGCACCTGCCCGTCCACCTATGGGAGAGTGAAGCTTCCCCACCGCAGGGGTCCTCAACCCACAAAGGTTGGGCCACACTCTGTTCTCCATGCAAATACCCCCTTCTCATGCCCCCCTCCACGGCCGCCTCCAAGTCCCCGTTCACCTGGCTCTTCATCCGCTGTGCACGGTGAGGACTCATGGATCACCGTCCCTTTCACAGGCGAGGGCACCACGCCCTGAGAGAGGACCGCAGGCCCGTGACTTCTGCCTCCCTGGTATCCGCCCCGCAGGGCTCCCTGCATGGCACCCTCCACTGCTCAGCGACCGGAGGCAAATACTCTCTCCTCCCCAGGAGCAGGGCTGCCTGCTCTTTGAAACTTCCAGGCCATGGGACATGTCCACAGGGGCCCCTCCTCCGCCTCTGCCACAGGTGCACGCCACGAGGATGGGGGGCAAGGGGACTGGAGCCTGAGTGCTCCGAGCCCCTCTCCACGCGGCCCGGAGGACAGCGGTGCCCAGGGCCCACGCCTCTGTCACTTAAACAATAGACCAGCAGGTAAATCACCTTCATGGCTTCTTTTTTTTTAACTGAAAAAAAATCAACTATATTTAAGTTCTAAAAAGAAAGTCACACAAGAATTCATAAGGTGAAAACAAAAGTCTGTCTCTAATTATAGGGAATGTGCCTTAGCCATGTGAATAAATGCAATAATTAATCCCTTAAAAGTAAACAAATAAAGAAGAACTTGCAGCAGTGGAAGGCGAAGGTGGGCCCCATGTGAGCAGTGAGCACTGGCTTTGGGTTGGGAGGTCTATTTTTATGCTTGTGGGCACCAGGTCTTCCTAAAAAGTAAACTAGATGTGGCTGTTGTTCAGTCGCTAAGTTGTGTACAGCTCTTTGCAACCCCATGGACTTCCTGCCAGGCCTCCCTGTCCTTCACTGTCTCCCAGAGCTTGCTCAGACTCGTGTCCATCGAGTCGGTGACGCCATCCAACCATCTCATCCTCGGCCGCCCCCTTCTTCCTTTGCCTTCCATCTTTGCCAGCATCAGGGTCTTTCCCAAACTAGATGCTGATTTAGGGCAAAACCCTTCGGGTCATTTTTCTTCAGCTCTCAGGCCAGTGACGCTGACCTGGGTGGGACAGAGTCCAGGCAGGAC